ACACTAGCTTGAGGTCCATGACGTAGGAAAGGAAGTACTAAAGGTGAGAAGTCTGGAGTGTGCAAACTGTTTATGACGATTAGATTTAGGTATCTGCATTCCAAACATTATAAGGGAAGGGAGGAAAACGGGTCCACGACGTAGGAAGTGATGAAGGAAGTAGTCAAGGCAAGCTGTCCGGAGTGTGGGAACTGTTTATAACGATTAGATTAAGGTATCTGCAATCCTAAAATGCTATTGGAAGGGAGGTAAACAGGTCCGTGACGTAGGAAGTAGTAAATGCGAGAAGTCTGGAGTGTGGGAACTGTTCATGACGATTAGATTAAGGTATCAACAAACATAAAATGCTATGGGAAGGGAGGAAAACGGGTCCGTGACGTAGGAAGTGATAAAGGAAGTAGTCAAGGCGAGCTGTCCGGAGTGTGGGAACTGTTTATGACGATTAGATTAAGGTATCTGCAATCCTAAAATGCTATGGGAAGGGAGAGAAAAGGGCCTGAGACGTATGAAGTGGTGAAGGAATTAGTTAGGTGAGCAGTGTGGAGTGTGGGAACTGGAAACCGTTTGTGGCAGTTAGATTAATGTATCTGCAATGCTGAAATGCTATGAGAAATGATGGAAGCATCCCCACGACATAGAAAATGGTGAAAGAAGTGGTAAAGGCTAGCAGTGCGGAGTCTGGGGAATGTTTGTGGAAATTAGATTAACGTTTCTAAAATACCAAATTGCTATGGAAAATGATGAAAACAGGTCCACGATGTAGGAAAAGGCGTAGAAAGTAGTAAAGTATGAGCATAGTGTGAAAACCGTCTGTGGCAGTTAGATTGATGTATCTTTAATCTAAAAAATGCTATGAGAAGGGAAGGAAAGAAGTCTATGACGTAGGAAATGGTGAAGGAAATAGTAAGGCTTGCAGTGCAGAGTGTGGGAACTGTCTTTGACAATTACCTACATTAATGTATCTGCAAACCTGAAATGCTATGGGAAGAGAGGATAATAGGTCCACGACGTAGGGGGTGGTGAAGGAAGTAGTATAGGTGAGCGTGTTGAGTGTGGTAATGGATTAATGTATCTGCAATGCTAAAACGCTATTGGAAGAGACTGTATACTGTAGGTTAAAATAATTTCGAAGCACGAATCGATACATATTTCGATACATGCAATCGTTTATAATAGAAATTTACAACTGAGTTTTACTCCATACAGGATAAAAACTAATTTTACTTCACAGAGGATAAAAACCTTTTTTACTTCCTAAAGAGTAAAAATGCTACTTTAGACCCGCAACGCATGCATTAAAAACGACTGGTATTACTGCAGTATGACCAAAACAATATAATATAAACCCTTGATGACTCCGCTCAATTTTGTGGATGCCTCTACGAACGCCACCTAGTATTCATTTATTTTGTTAAGGTCATCTATGTTTTAAAGTAGCACTAATCACATTATATGTGTAATACAACAGTACCATACACATAAAAAAGCCCATACAGCAAAAGTTTACCAAACAAATCACTCTGCCTTCACAACTTTTCCCGCTCGGCCACTTGCTTCTCTCTGACCAGTAGCCACTCAATAAGAACATTATCATTTGTGGAAACGTAACAGCGTTATTTATCAACATATAGCTTGGAAATTTATGGCTTATCTTCATAACATAATGTACTAGTGATCAACACTTTTTAAGTTTGAAAATTCACCATTATTTTTTAAATGAGTATTTAATTTTAAGTTTAATGACCATTATCTCATTATAAAAAGTAAAAATTGTAAAATTAAAATTTAAGTCTCTATAAGACTGCAATTCTTTAATTTAATTCCTTAGCCATAATTAAGCCTATTTGATGATTTGCTGATGGGAACTCAAAATAACAAAGGGGTCAAAAATTACCGTGGGGTTTCACGGTCATCCCAAATACGTTTGATTTGTTTCACGAAAAGGCCGTGACGAAAGCTGGACCTAGTCAAGTCATATGGAGGGGATGACCTTAGTATTAAAAGAATGACTTCACATATTTCAATCCATTTACTTAACTTATTCATTTTAAAATTTTGGCCAGTTTGAAATCACTGGTTTTTGGATGTTTGAATGAACCAAGTTCCATTGTGTCTTGTACTTTTACATGTTTTCTTTACAGAGGCAAAGACCGAACCCACATCCTATCCTGAAAGGATACGAAATTATTGGCGATAGCCAATTTTTTCGCTTCGCCGAACAACTATTTGGCATGAAGAGAACACACATGCCAAACTGTAAGTATTTGTCATGCATTAATTGTCAAGGAGGATCATTTCAAGTTTGTTTTTGCAATGAATGGATGGAATATTCATGGATCAGAAGTAATAATAGAATACAGGAACAAAAATTGTTAGGATTGAATAATTAGTGAAAGCAATAACTTTGGTTGCTGCAAGTAGATTTCTTATATTGTTATTTGAGCGATTGCTGATATTTTTCACAACGATTAGTAAAACACCAAGCACACTTGAGTTCTCTAATGTGAACATCCAGCCAGGGCCGACCGAAGGGGGGGGGCAACCGGGGCAAGCTACCCCGGGCGCCATGGTTGACAGGTCGCTGCGCAGCGGCTAACATAGTTTTAAAATATGCGAATGTGACTATTATTACTGGGAGGAGGGGGCGCCACGACCACGTTCGCTCCGGGCGCCGCTAACCCTAGGGACGGCCCTGCATCCAGCTAATTCTAACCACATTTTGGGTAAAAAAAGGTTGCTGTTTTTGAATTGTAAAGCTGTGTTCTAAAATATTAACAAGGGTGTCACACCAACCAGACACCCATGGAAACTAGGGAATTGTATTTGAATTTTGATGACTGGGAAGAAGTCCATGTATTTGATATGGGTCCGAGACTTTTGGGATGATTGCCAATGGCCTGTATCCGAGCTTCCATTTGTGTTAGTATGAAAAGGTTTGAAGTTTGATCGGTGGTTGAATGGTTTTTATTTCAAATAAATTAATAAAATTTAAATCATAAGCATCCTATGTTAATAGTCCAAGACTATGCAAAGTTTCAGGAATTTTGATCGGTTATTACTATTTAAAATTAGAATTTTATTAGAGCGGCGTCACTGCTCGATATGGTCGCGAGGCATGTTTGCCCCCAAGGTGACGTCACGACACCCCTCCCCCGCACTGCCTGCAGCCGGCTACGATCACGATCTAGGAGGATTCACGATGCGCAGTAGCAGCGAGCCTTTCAAGACCGGAAAATGCCGCGCTTCTGCGCATGCGCTAGTAACTGGTGGCGTAGCAGCAGCTATTTCAGAAAGTCACGGTCACTAACCACCTAACCACTAACTAGCGTCGTTGTCGTAGTATTTATCTTGACTGCACTGCAACTGCAACTAGTTCCTCATAATTATTATTCATATCGTTTGTTATTCTTTATGTTATGATCGAGTTATGTCTGAGTTGAAGTTGGGGTTAGTTATTGATAGATTTTGATTGCTGCTGTGTTGCGGAGGTCATTTATCATCGATGATGTGCTCCTTCTTCAATGCGAAAATTCTGAGAAAAACGAGTAATGGAAGACATCAATAACACTGGAGTACTTTGTAGTTTATGTGGAAAAGTTTATTTTTAGTTTATGGACGAGAAGTACAGAAGGATTCCAATTAATGAGCCAGCTATGTTCAACAAGGCAAGGCCAATAAAATAATTTGTTTTATTCACTAGCGCTTTTGAATGGAAACCTAGTTTCTGAATGAAAGCGCTAGTGAATAAAATAAATTATTATGTATTAGCCTTGTTGAACATTTACATTTAGTTATACATTCCATTATAAGCAAGATGCCAATAATCCTCAAAAAGCTTAGACCATTAAAAATTAAATGAGAATTGGGCTTCTCTTTTGGAAAACATGTTTGGATACAATTGAAGATAGATAAATAGATGATAACGGTAACGTAGCCCACAGAAGTTACTTAAAATTTATTTTATAAAATAAAGGAGGTGCCAGAGGTTACAGTAAGTAAAGTAACACATACATAAACATAATCTGTAAAATTCTTCATTCAGTTACAGTAATTAAATGGTTTGGAGTTTAGCGCGGGAGAACCGTTCCAGTTTCAAGTAGATTGTTGCAAGAGTTGCAGTGGAGATACTAGTGTGATTTTCTGAAACAGCTGCAGCTGTTACAAGTGTTACGGATAACGCTTACTTGCGCATGCGCAGACGCGCGGCATTTTCCGGTCTTGAAAGGCTCGCCAGTAGCACACCTTTTTTACTTCCACCATGCTCCCGCCTGACCGAAACGGCACACGGAAGATTTCTCAGGTGCATTTTGACGCAACTGCTGACGTCACTTTGAGGGAACACTATTACCGCAACGATACGGCATTGAGTCATCGGCCTCTGTGGTGTAGTGGCAGCGTGTCGGGCCGATATTCCGAATGTACCGGGTTCGAATCCCGCTGTTAGCATTACCTTTTTGTCAACATTTTTGTTCATATCAGCAAGTTTGGTTGGTTTGGTTAGGTTATGACAGTTTAATTTTATAATTAAAAATTATAAAATTGAATTTTAGGCATTAATAATTTTATTTTATGAAAAAAAATATTTTTTAGATTAGTTAACCTTCATTCGATTTTTTCATTATCAGCACGTTTGGTTAGTTTGGTTAGGTTATGACAGTTTAATTTAATAGTAAAAAATTATAAAATTGTCTGTTTCTTCAGACGCAGCAGTTAGTGACGTCAAACGGCACCTGAGAAATCTTCCGTGTGCCCCACCGCCGCCTGACGGCAAGTAGCCATTGTCATTGTAAACAAATGCACCTGAACCCTGCTGAACCTAACCTATTATAATAGAATAGTGTCATTCATTAGTTTAGTTTGCATCTTGCATCTTTCTTATATCAATAATAACTGTGAGTTACAGGTTTTATTAATGTATTAGTGTCTTTAAGTATGTGATAGTTCCCTTGTGCTTGTGCAATTTTCCGTTGATTGTGTACTAATTTATGACATGGATTGAAATCATGTCTAGAGAAAGAGACAGATTTAGGGAATTTGAAAGTGGTTATGAAAAACAGAAGAAAAAGGAAAAACGTGAAAAGTTTTTGAAATCACAACAAGGTGCACTAGTTCAATTTTAAAAATAAGATGGAGCTGAACTGAAGGTGGAGGATCAGTTGATGTTTGTTGAGTATCGTAAGCAGTGGCGTAACAAATTTTTACGGGCCCCCCTGCATTTGCAAACTTATTTTTTGGCCCCCCCCACTCATGAGTTATTTTTAGACCACCAATACAACATAATCAAACGCCCTCCCCCTCCCACCAGAGTATTTTGTGGACCACCTATACAATGATCAAGCAGATTAATCATAAAATGAGTGGTAAATAAATTAAAATATTAAATTGTGAGATATGTTCCATAAAAGGGTATTAGTCCAGTCAAGGAATGAGGTGTAGAGTGCGTGAGCAGGTAACTAAGCGATTCCTTCAGAAACTTGTTCAGGGGGCTTAGGGTGTTAACATACCAAAAGTCCTGACTCCTAGGTGGTGAGCCAGGGGGTGGAGGGGGGGAAAAGGGGGGGGGAGAAAGGTACGCATTTTGGGTTTTTTGATTATATCTCGAAAACTATCAACTTTTTGTATACTATAGTAAATTATAAAATTGAAGAAGATTAAATTTTCTACAAGAAAAGTACATAATGTGTTTATTTTGGTTCAACGGATTACGAGTTATAACTTATTTAATTGATATCTTATTAAAATCTCCTTCCATAAGAAATACATGTAAATTAGTATGCGAAATGGGGCGAATCCTATCCGCCCAAAGGAAATATAAATGATATTCTGGAAATATTGACAAAATTTCCAGTAATTTGACACTTCAATCATTAAAATTGATCCAAAATTAAGGCGAGGGCGAGGTAACAAAATGTCGAGTTTTGGTGTTTTTTTATTGGAAATACAAAAAAAAAACCTTAAATCATCCCATTTTTAAACGCTCACCCTCGCTTTAATTTTTGACAAAATTTCATGATTAAAGTGTCAAATTACTGGAAATTTTGTCAAGATTTCCAGAATATCAGTTATATTTCCTTTGGGCGGATAGGATTCGCCCCATTTCGCATACTAATTTACATGTATTTCTTATGGAAGGAGTATTTTAATAAGATATCAATTAAATAAGTTATAACTCATAATCTGTTGAACCAAAATAAACACATTATGTACTTTTCTTGTAGAAAATTTAATCTTCTTCAATTTTATAATTTACTATAGTATACAAAAAGTTGATAGTTTTCGAGATATAATCAAAAAACCCAAAATGCGTACCTTTTTCCCCCCCTTTTTCCCCCCTCCACCCCCTGGCTCACCAACTAGGAGTCAGGACTTTTGGTATGTTAACACCCTAAGCCCCCTGAACAAGTTTCTGAAGGAATCGCTTAGTTACCTGCTCACGCACTCTACACCTACTTTTGGATCATTCATTGACTGGACTATATGTGTTAAGTATTTTCAGTCGTGGTTTGATGGAAGTGTTACATCACTACATCATTATATCAGTTTTAGTGTTTGTAAATAGTTTTGAAATCAAATAAAAACCCCTTATTTTCCATCCATCTATCAGAATGTTTATATCAAGGAGGTTAAAAACTTTACATTTAATTTATCACACATGTTATCCATTTTTATTTCCCTGATAATTAGACTAATTCGTTAATTACAAGGCAAAATGTGGTTCGAATTCCCCTATTAACCACCTTAGGCCCCTTAGTTGCCTTTTGCTGTATTAGCTTTGAATTAATTAACATCTGTGTCTAATGTCTAAGGAATATGTCGGCCTTAGTCCCTTTCAACACTAAAAGGTTGGGCTACTCATCTCCATTAATTCTTGGCTTAAAATACCTACATTGGTATGGTCGCCATTTCAAAATAAATTATTAAAGTCAATCAATCAATTATTTAAGACTAGCTGTAACCCGCGGGCTTTGCCCCGTTTAACTTCTTAATTTTCAAGATTATCTCGTTCGCATGGCTCAATCACATCCTGGTTGAAGTTTGTTCGCTACGCTCACTCACCTTTAGGTTGGAGCTCGTTCGCTACGCTCACTCACCTTTAGGTTGGAGCTCGTTCGCTGCGCTCACTTGCCTTCAGGTTAGCTCGTTCGCTACGCTAACTCGCCTCCAGGTTGAAGTTCGTTCGCTACGCTCACTCACCTTTTGGTTGCAAATTAGCTGTTGTCATAAATGTAAAAGAAATAATAGTGCTGCACCCTGTTGGTAATCCTTGTAACTTTAATGCTATTGAACATCATAGAACAGAACCAACTTGTTTAATTGAAACAGCTGTTAAGATTCAATAATTCCATTTCTCATAAGGTTAACATGGGAAACTCCAGAGCCACTGGGGCGGAGCCCGAAAGGATTTTTGAAATAAGAATATGCCTATATGTTAATCGGGAATGTGAGCTATCATCATGCCAAATTTCAGCCCAATCCGACCAGTATTTTTCGAGTTTACTTTTCCCATACACACATACACACATACAGCAACCACCTCTTTTTTATAATAGTATAGATAGATAGATGGGGACGCCAATATGTGCGTATTTAAACCCAAATATGACTGAAGGATGAGAAAGTATTAATTTATTAGGTTAGTGTAACTCTTTGGTTATAATTAACTCATACACTAAAAGCTGGTTAGTTTAATAGATTGACGTACTATAATCACAGGCTAAAATAGCCTATTGCATTTTTTATTTTATCTTTGTATGGATTTCAAGCGTCTTATTATGTTGTAAGCATTTATCTTACAACTAATGTCTTTAGTAATGGTTAATTGTGGGGATAACAAACACAGTCAGTAGAGTAGCAGTATATTGTATTTAACAAAACACAATCAATATTAGGACAAAGCTAAAATGTAAAATAATACAAAATTAAATGCCCCAGCCAACGTTCATGACTCCAGGCTCCAAAGTAACAAAATGATTGCAGACGACATAGGTAGTGTACGAAATCACCGAGAAGTAAAATATTTCTCGGTGACGAAAGTAAGATTGCATAATAATCAAAGACCCACGTTATAACATGTTAAATTTGTTACCCTATTTCGTTATCACTGAAGAGGCCTAACGAAATTAAACGATAAAGGATAACAACATATTATTAATAACATCAATGTTATTACTTGTTCAATACAATTATTGAATGAATGAACTCCAATTTTTCGGCCCCACTCGTCTCACGGGCCTCTCCGCTCACCGTTTCCCGCTCACCGGTTCGTGGGCCCCCTCAGCTCCCGGGCCCCCCCGCATCATGGGCCCTGCGGGCCCTTCTGTTACGCCACTGATCGTAAGTAAGAAAACTAAAACCCCCATTACAGACCAACTGCCGAAAACACAATAAACCTAGCTTGACAAAAAGTAAATACATGTAAACAAGTTAGCCTATGAGCATTTACTATTTACAAAGTGACGGGACGACAATCCACAGTGAAGAGAAGTGTTGATTTTTTATTAATTATTGTAAAGAACTTTGTGGACAATATTTGTGATAACCACTTTGGAATTGGAAAAATAATACGTGCAATTAGCTATAATATTAACGGCCATTTGCAGAGTGTAAAAGATTCATTTGTTTCATCAAAATGACGAATTTGCAAGTATCTCATTGACAATTATTTACCGTGTGTAATATTTTTTACCTTTAAAACACCCTTCACAGACCATCTGCCGAAAACACAATAAACCTAACTTGACAAAAAATAAATAAACAAGATAGCCTATATAAGCATTCACTATTAATTGTCACTCTGCCACTTTGTTTAATTTACAAAGTGTTGATTCAATTAACAATCCACAACTTGGGTAAAGGAGAAGTGTTAATTTTTTTTTATTAATGATTGTAAAGAATTTTGTGTGCAATATTTATGATATCCACTTTGGAATTGGAACAATAATATGTGTAATTAGCAATAATATTCACGCCCATTTTCAGAGAGTAAAAAATTCATATTTTTTCGTCAAGGTGCTTAAAATGACGACTTTACAAGTATAATTTTACAAAAATTATACTTGTAAAGTCAAATAACTCTGTAGCCTACCCCCCAGACCCCCCGGTGAGCTTAGTTAAACAAGGCCTCGCAATTATGTATTGCCCCAGGCCTCGCATTTTATAAAGACGGCTCTGTACGGGTCTTGAAGATATCATCATCCTCTACCGCGGTCACGGAAACAATGCCACCTTTTTCCGCGATTGCGTTGAGCGGTGCCAGTGACAATACAACATCTGCGCCCCCCCCCCCCCCCCCCCCCGCGCTCTGTGGTTGCAGGGGTGTTATTTACGCCACTTCATTCCTGCTTCATTTACAATTTCTGAACGAATATTAACTTATCATTTTGGTGATAATGATGGTTGAAATAGGCCCTACTTAAATCCTCATGTTTTCCAGGTCCCGGAAGAATTGGTTTGTGCATAAGCGGGCAAACTTGATCTGCACCGAAGAGTGGTTGAAAATCCCATTTCGGACAAAATAGTGGTATTGATCGGCGTTAATTACTTTTTAAAGGTAGGTTACTTTATTACTAAATCAATAGTCAATTTAATATGCTTTTAACATTGTATTATTTTGATTTTTGAATAAAAGGTCTTTGACCATGTCAAGGATAGTTTGCTGACCTAACAAAAAGTTCGCCGGTTCGATCCTAAGAAAAGTCAACTGCACAAAACGAAACTGGAGCCAGATGTTCCTCACCGTATTACTTTAACCCCAGAACTGCCGATTGGTCATTTTATCACCGATCAGGGTCCCTTCTTTAGATCCAGTATTTTGCATGTATTAAAGCTTATAGTTAATTTATTGATTTTTAATAAATATGGATGTATATACAGGGTGGCACAAAAAGGATGGTTGAATTTGAACTGCGTAGTACTAGAAATGGGGGGAAGGTCGAGTCCGCTGCCGGCCACCTGTAAGTTGACCATAGTATCCAATTTGCCATGAGATGGCGCACTGGACTGTCGAGCACCGCGTTATTGCGGAGGAACAGTTTTTTTCAGCTGTGTCCCATTTTGGTGTATCCCGTAATGGGCTGGTTCCTGATCACAGATCAATATCACGTTGGGTGACTGAATTTCGACAACAGGTTCGTCATGAGTGGTAAATGTACTGGACTTCCACAAACAGCACTTACTCCAAAAACATAGAGTGTCAGTGCTTCAAAGTCTGCTACGTTCTTCTTATGGTTTATTTTTATTTTTAAATTTATATGGTTTGAATAACAGAGCCTAAAACAAAATTTATAACTTACAAGGTATTTAATGAATAAATATATATAGTTTATTTTAAAAATGGCTACAAACTGTACTTAGGCTTATAAAATAATATATAAAAGACAGAGACTTTATTGTTACTAAAAATACATGAGTTTTAATAGCCTAAAAATTTAACAAAAAAAAAGGAACTAGCAGACATAGGCAGTGCTACCTGTGTGTCTGCTAAGTTGCTGTTTAAAAAAAAGAAAATATTGATTTTGTGGAATTGCAATTAAAAAGACGTTAAGGTTAGATGGAATTAAGGTCGTTATTATTATAGTGATACAAGTAATGTTATTTCCATGAACACAGTGCTGGTGAGCCAGCGCCCATATAGATTTCTGTGGTGGCCAAGAGAGAGGGAGAGTGTGTGTGCGAGTTTACGTGTGTAATGTGGGTGGTGAAGAGTAGTAAATTCGACTGCGGACAGTCCAATCAATAATAATTTTAATACTTATAATTTTTGTATTGTTATTTTTGTAAAGGGGCATTTGAGTGTCAAGAATCGTAAGTAAGTACAATTTATGTGTAAAATAATTTACGTTACGTTTGTTTCAAAACCGACCATTCTTTATGCGCCACCCTTTAGTTGGAGATGTTGGCTATCCTGCTAACTTGGTAGTAATATTTTTTGTTGGGTTAGCGTGGTTGAATTCTGGTTTTCTTTGTCTGCTGAGTTGAAAATTCAAGGTCAGCTGATGTGTTATTTGACAAACAAACAAAAATAACAATGATTTTTTATGACATCCAACATTGATTTCTTTTTTCACCGTTGTTTCTCCAGGACGAATATCCTACTCTTTAACAATTAGAAAAACTTATCCATCACTAATATTTGGATTATAACAGTGATTTGCTTCACTTATGGGATTCCGAGGGCAATTATTTTGTTTGAATTAAGTGTTACTGATTGTTAAACCTGTTATGATTGTTGTTGGCTAGAATGTGAACGTGTACAGAATGTGTGAAGAAATCTCTGCACTTTTGAGGACATTACAGAAGAGAGCCTCCAAAATAATTCTGCTGACACTCCCACCGATTCCACGCTTAGCAAGGAGGAACAGTACCGTACACACTTTGATCAACTAGAGATCTATAACTCACACATAAGAAGCCTAGGGAACAGTGAGCAAAAATCTAACCTAAGCTAGGTATTTGTGATGAGGTATATCATAAGTCAGTTTGAATACCATAGAAATGTGTTGCGAAACTGCAGTTTGCATCACGATTGAGGTTAACCAAGTCTACTTATTTATTGTAAATACAAGTCTCTATTATTTTTAAATGGGTTATACTAAGTGCAATTGCTATTGAAGAAAAAGCACTTTGCTTAGGCATACATTAGGGAGAAGAACAGGATCACAAGTAAATTACCAAAAACTCTGACGGTTGTTACATACTTGATATTTCTCCGCTACCAGGAAGCTTCTTTGGAGGGTAGTAGAAGTTCTAGTTGTAAGATTCTACTACTATTCTCTCAAGCTTAACATACAGGGTGTCCCATAACTCTCTGGAGACATGTGTATATAATAGTTAATGTAATAAATAGCCCAGAAATATAATGGAAAACGTTTTTATACTGAACAAATTATTGATACATCTTTTTAACAATTATACCAAAACCAAAAACATAACATACAAAAGATAAACAAGACAATTAATATTTGATCAGGTGATGATGTAAAGACAAGATGAGAAATATTACTTCTCTAACAGTATATAGCGTTATTGCTTAGGTCAAGAAAACACATTTCACCATAGGAACATGGGTCTGTAGTGCCTAGTTTACCGTCTGTCTGTTTTTATGTGTTTATTACAAAACAATTTATAACTCCTAAACGGTTTGAGGAACAGCGTTGAGATTTTGCAAAATATTTATCCTATTAAGACCTATTTTTGTTTAAAGTTAAACAAAAAAAAATCATAAACCCTTTAATCTTCCGTCGGGCGCATTGATTTTCAAACACCAAAGGGCGCTCACAGAAGTTACCTCTGGGAGTACATAAACTATACAATAATGAGTTAAAAACATTTTATTAGCAATAAAACTGTAATAAAAACATTTGTTTTATGAGTTATTACACTATTACTTAAGTTGTATATCAAATAGAAAATGTTATAATAAAAAATAAAAATGCGTAAGTGTTGTGGATAAAAAGATTTACTTTTTGTACCTATATAGTGTTATCGTACATTATCAAACAAATTTTAATATTGTATGACATAAAAACACGTAAATGGTCTAATAAGAATAATAACTTTTTACAAGGACAACACATTCAATCAAAGCTCTTAGACAAAAATTGCATCAGTGTATGACATAAAAACACCTATGGTATTGTGAAAAAAAGATAATTATTTCACAAGGACAACTTACTTTGTCAAAGCTCTTTATAATAAATTGCAATGGTGTTTGAAATAAAACACCTATTATCTAATCCAAAAAATCATTTGTTAGAAGGATTACACATTTTGTCAAAGTTCTTTTTCTTGTAAAAAAAGACGTTTCAGAACTCGCACACCATTAGTTCTTTCTACTAAATGTTGTTCTTTGTCCTCCATTTCAAGACTAGCCAACAATCTCCAAATTAGTTCTTCTTAATACATTTTATAATATCGCTAAATATGGTCAAACACAAGGGCGCACACGGAACTAGGCTCAGGGAAACCCGTTATATCACAGGGCGCTCACAGAAGCTACATCCAGTAGTGACGCAAACCACCCCCAAGGTCGACTGACAACTGGGAAAGGGGTAAGAGTATAAAAAACCGATTCTGCAAAAGAAATTCGTGAGGCAAATCAGGCCACAGCCCTACCGAACACGTACTATGGTTTTTATAACGAAAAAAGTAGTGACCCGATGGTAACTTCCTTGATGCGCCCGATGGAAGGTTAAAAATGGCGGCCATTTAAATTGTTTGATGCCAAATTTCACGAAAACCGTTAACTTTACAAAAATATTGCAATAGACAAAAATTAAAATTTTCTGTAGTTTTCAATAATAGATTATTTGTTAAGAATGAATAAATAATAACAGAGAAATGTGTTCTATTCGTAATGCATGACCACTTTTCTCCATTTAAACAATGCTAATACTGATAATAATCAGGAGTTAGTTATAAAACATAACAGCTGGTTGAATAATTTGTTATTGTTATTTATAAAAGTATTGCCGCCTGAACATTACTGCAAGACTTTACTAGTAGCTTACGATTCGTACAACCTAGTTAAAGTAATTATTTATTATGTTTATAAAATTGGGAAATAAAACTCAAATTGAGACCATTGAAAGCAAGACTAAGCCTATTTAATAAATCGGGTAGTATTTGAGGGTGCACCTTTAATCTCCCACACTATTTAATCTCAGTATAGACTACATTTTAGAGGAGATGTCTAATGAATCTTTTGTAGTAGAATATGGATACAAAATTAATAAATTAGTACCAGAGAAATAAGCATGCTCGGTTTTGCTGATGATACAGTAGGCCTACTAATTGGAAAATACTTTGAATCTGTTCTGATATTACCGTATATAATAAAATAAAAATCTTCTTTAATGAAATTGGACTATGAAGCTTTATTTTTTAAAGAAAAATATTATCTTTCTGAATATCACTCCAACTTTTGTCGATTTCCTCACCATTTTAAAAGTGATTTGCAAAAGGACTAATCAACCTCCGAATTTATAGTTGTTAGATAATACGATAATATTAAACTTGAGTAAACTTGAATTAAATCCACAGTTCTACTTGACAGACTTTATTAAATAATATGTCAATGGAAAGCTTCATATGTACATGTAGATTAGCAAATAATTATGATAGTTTGATTTTTTTAGATGTATGGCAGTACCGTTCCGCAGTGGTGGTTGGCCGCTACCGTATGCATCATCTAATCATAGAAAATGTATTGATAATTTAACAGCTGATAGTTGTATTCATATTTCATTAATTTTTCTTTGTTTGCATGTTGTTGTTCACAATTTGCTTTTGTGTTAAAGGTTAAAGTTATTACTATTCTTCTAAAACCATTGTAGTTACTATTCTTATTTGTTGTTCTTGTTCCTTGTTTGTTATTAGTTCTGCTTTGTGTACGTCCATTTTGATACTGCTCAAATCAAATTGTATTTACTTACTGCATGTCATTGTCAAAAATTATTTTGTATGTTATGTTTAAGTTAGATTAAGTCATCTATACAAAACATTGTAAATTGGTTCTTGACCGTTGGAAGGTAAAATAAATAAATAAATAAAGTGTGTTCCTTATCCTAAGTGTGTGTTTCTCTTTGTAGGTTTACCATAATCAGCAGGGATATTTCCTTCTAAAGCTGCTGTTGGACTTCGGTTGATACGATATACAGCAGTTTGAACAGCTTCTGACCAAAATGTCTTACCTAATTCACAATTAATAAGTACTAAACAACAAGCAATTTCAACACTAGTCCTGTGTTCATTCATTCCAAGACACCATACTGAATTCCTTGCTCCTAGAAAAACTGCGTCAACTAGTTTGACATGTATGCTATTATCACCACGAAATCTGCTAATCTTTAGATTGAAATTAGATGTAGCCAAAGTATGATAGCTACATCTGGAAGTATCTAGTGACTTCCGCCTTCAATTCTAGAGCATAAAGGCTACCCTGAAATGAGTAAAGTCGTCAATAAAAGTGATGATATATTTCTTACCGTCAAATGAAACTGGTGAGATTGGACCACACAAATCACTGTGGATCAACTCAAGAAATCTGGTGGCACGTCTCCTGTTCTGATTGTAAGGAAATTGTGATTGTTTCCCTTCAACACACTTTGAACACTTTTCTAAGGGTATTGTTGAAGTATTCAACTCCATCCCATCTACCTGCGACCTGAGACTTTTTAACATATCTAAAATGACCAAACCTGTCATACCTCAGCTTCATGTTTGTATCAGTTGAAGGCGCTGACAAAGCTTTGTGTTGCAAAACATTTTAATCTTTAATTTTTTAATCTTGATCAATAATAATCAATAAATCATGAATTTTGAAAGATAATAAAAGCCATTCATTTCCAATTTTCTTACTGAAAGTAAATAATTGTAACTGATTCCAGGTACAGATAAAATATCTTTGTTTGTTATTTTAATTTCCTCCCCTTCCACAACACTAGTGACATACAATTTCCCTTTACTTTTTGCTTCAAGATAAGTTCCAGACTTGGCTACTTTTATTTTAATTGGTTGTTCAAATTTCTTAAAGTTTGAGAGACATACCCTACCTCATTACTATTAACCAGATGTTTTGTAGCGCCAGAGTCTAATATCATTGACTATATATAGTCAATGCTAATATCCAATTTATGGTATCTGCTGAACATTCTTCACTTGATGTTTCAAAACAAAATGCATTTTCCTTTTTGGCGTCGACCACATTCGCAGAATTATTTTTTTCTTTGATGGGTTCTGTGGTAATTTGACTCTGCAGTTAGCTCGTTTGTGTCCATCTTTCCGCATCTGTGACAAGTGAAGTTGAACGAGTTGCAAGAGGCTCCTTGTGGTTCCTTGATTTCCGGGAAAATTTTTCTTTTTCCTTTGTTGAGACTGGACTGGAAGGAAGAAGGTGGTGATGTAAAATCAAATTCAATTTTCCCAACATCCCTACGCTTCGTCTCCTCTTCCAACATTCTGACCTTCGCAAAGCTTAGAGGTACCTAAGTCCTTCAACTATCAATTACCTATTTAAGATGGGGATGCTATGTGCATATTTTAACCCTCATTGATTGAGTCTCTATATCCAAGAGGACGACGTCATATTCTTTGAGCATGGTCAGTGTAGGTGACAAACAATGTCAGATTCCTCGACAGTTGCTCATGAGTTTGTCAAATTTCAGATAGTGATTATTTAAAACATCACTCTTTGCATCAAACTTCATTTTTAGTAACTGCTTCCTTAGTAGAAGTTGACTAGCAGTTCCTTTTCTTTCAAATGTGTTGCCGAGAGGTAACCATAGTTCAAAAGCAGTTGCTTTGTCTTTTGCACATTCCAAATGGCTGTCGGCAATACGCTGTATAATCTGCAACTTGTAATTGCGCTCTTGTTTCGCTAATTCTAACAACTTTGCTAATTCTAATTGCTTCCTTCCTCTCTCGTTGTTCATCTGTGTCTTCCTCCAGAAATTCAACTTTTGTAACATAATATTCCTTCACAAAAGATAGTAACTCCAATCCCTCCAGTAGAGTTTCTATAATTATACACTTCCAATTGCTGCAATTAGTTCCATCAAACAATGGTATTCGATGCTTTTCATGTTCAGTTACCAATATCAATTCAATTTGACGAGCCAGATAAAAAATTAACAAATTCCATATTTAAAAATCCCTGGGTCCATAACCTTTAAATCTGTGATTTCCCTAGAAGGACACTAAATAATAAACCTATGCTCAATAAAATAAATGGCAAATTGAATGACAAAACTCAACAGGTTTTATTAAAACAATTAAGTAAAGACATAGATCACACTATTATTATTTTTAACAACACATTGAACAATTTAACCATCTGGTATTCATCAATAAAGTCTAACATTAAAACACAGACATGTGGCAAATATTAAATTGCACTCAAGCAAGGCCACGTGGCCTTAACCACAGAAAACATACTATAGTTCGGCCGCTTAGAAAGCGACCTCCTCTAGCATTGGTTTAGCATTAGCACGCAGGTCGTTTTCTATGCGGCCGAACTATACTAGGCCTATAACCCAGAATGCCAACCGCATGGTAAAAAGCATTAAGTGTTTTGTGAGATCTTTGCCTGTCAATTCGTAGGCAGCGCCACCAGCGTTGCTATGCTGAGTGCATGGCAACGCTGGTGGCGCTGCCTATGAATTGACAGACAGGCAAAGCTATCTCAAAACACTTAATGCTTTTTACCATGCGGTTGGCATTCTGGGTTATAGTAGTAGTAGTATGTTTTCTGTGCCTTACAGTAGTGGCGCCTTGTTTCAACAAACCCAAACCAAAGAGGTTTTACTCGTACAACAGGAACAACAATTAATGTAGTAACAGCAAACTTCATTTTAACAAAAGCTAAGACAGAGGAAAAAGAAACGGGTCATTGGTTTTTCTGGACACATTGAAAATAGTTTTCTGGGTGTAGCTCATACAAACACACAGACACCACCTCTTCTTTATAATAGTATATATATATAGAGAGATTGATAGATAGATAGGATAGATTGTTGTTGTTAGGAATGACACAGACATTTCAATAGGTACTTTTAATTGCAGAGTTACCCAAGATAAAGTCCATTTACCTCGCAATGGTGTTGGAGGAAAAGTATCCATTGATTATTTGCTACGACATAAGCATATGTAGATGGACTCATTTTGTTTGCACAAGCCCGTGACTAATAGTAGTACTGTACAAACTATATTTTTTGGGATTGGAAAAGAGCAATCGATTCCATCAAAGCAAATTTAATAAAGAGGCAGGCAATACATGCAGCACAACTATTCTTAAATCAAAGTTCTTCCAAAGACACACTAGTCTTGAATGGAGAAAGGTTTGTTCTGTTCATGTATGGGCTTAGTAAGATGTTTAATGTTGACAAAGCATTGTATTTTAGCTTTACAAGAATAACTAAAAACAAAATGTCTTCTACAAAGTCATAGTTTGAGTAATACAAGTTACGATAACATCAAAATCATGCCATCAACATCTCTTTAGAGTTCTTGCAAGTGCAAAGTTGGTTAGGGAACAAACTCACACCCACTGAGGCAGGATGTAAAAAATATTGTGTCCTGAAGAAAATCTGGCTTTACTTGTTCGTCCATATGATAGGTGATTATACATTATACTCTATCGATCGGTAACATAGTATACTCATACTGTGATTAAAATACAACGTTGTTTAATTATTTCATCGTTTTGTCATTAATAATGTTTTAATAGTGACAATAACAAATAACTTATAGGATAAAAGTAAGAGTTATATAGGTATTTACAACAGTCTTTATGGGTATTAAAAGAACTACAGAAGATTAAACATGTTTTACATTAAGCTGCAAAATACAAATACAAAAACCTACCCAAATTGATTTAATTTTTGTGGTCCTGTGCATAATAAAGCCTGAATCCTGTGAAATCCATTTACTGTACTATTTAATTTGAACACTATACACAAACTAACTAGTAGTAACTATATAAAACTAGCAGAATACCCGTCCTTCGTACGGGGTTGGCATATAAGTACAAAATGATCATTGCAGTGATGGGAGAGGAGACGGCTTCAGAAAATTTGGTACCACTGCACTCTACCATTGAAAAAAGTAGGTCAAGTTTTCATTGTGTACCACAACTTTTGGTTGCTAGTTGGTTCAAATTAGGTGTTGTCCTAAATGCAAAAAAAAAAACATAATAGAGCATCACTCTGTTGGTAAGCCTTGTAACGTTTTAGTGCTATGTAATATCATAGAACCAACTTGTGCAGTTGAAACGGCTGACAAAATTCTTTAATTCCTTTAAATATGAATACTCATAAGGTTAACATGAGAAACTCCAGAGCCCTGAAGGATTTTTTAGGTAAGAATATGTCTAGGGCCTATATTTTAATCGGGAATGTCAGCTACTATCATACCAAACGTCAACCTTGTCGGTTTAGTATTTTTTGAGTTTACTTGTCATAAACATCCATCCATCCATCCATACATCCAAACTTTCTTACTTATTAAATTAGTAGGATAAGTAAACTGTTGTAAAATTGCTTGTTTATGGATATATTTTTTACAAAATTGGTAATTTTTTTATTTTATACAAAGCTATTAATATTTTCCTAAAAATCACACTTCGTTACCCTCCCTGTAGCAGCAAACCTAGGTACTCGATAAACCTAATGTTATTGAATTAGATTTAATTGAAAATAAAGTCACACAAATGGAAATTTGCTTAGGCTGCAGGTTTGCTGCGGCGACGGTATTATGGAATTAAAATGGTAATACATGATTAATTCTAATTTATATATATATATATATAATAAATAAATCAATCCCGTTGGTCAAAATTAGTAGCACCGGTCGCTTGTTACTTGAATGGCGCTACTGCAACCAGCGCTACTATTCGTATTTGCTAGCAGCTATACCCGTGCCTTGCAACAGGGTCAGTATGCAAAAGAGACAATGTTGGTTTTCTGAAAATGACAAACGGTTTCACTCCTAACGTTTAATTTAGAAGCGAAATTTAACTCAATTGCTTAACTTTATAATAGTACGTTTTTTTAACTCATAA